GGGGGGGGGGGGGGGGGGGAGATTATTGGTTGTGAATGATGATAAGGGGAAAAAAAAACAAAAACCTACATGTTTTTTTTTGCATTTTTTTTTTTCTTCCATTGATTGATTGATTGATTGATTGGTGGGGGAGGGGTCGTCTGCCCCCCGCCTCACTCCCCATACACTCACACACACTCATATACACACACACAAACACACACATACACATAGTACTGTACATTTTCATGTTCTAGCAGAAGATTCATTCGATGTTGCCCATCCTATCGATGGAAGTAGTGTGAGGCCAGCCGCGGGGTTGGAGACTTACACGTTGGCCGTTGCGTTGATCATCTTTTCGATGGAAAACTCTCTCTCTCTCTCTCTCTCTCTCTCTCTCTCTCTCTCTCTCTCTCTCTCTCTCTCTCGCTGCCTTAGCTAGGTTCGCTAAGCTTTTCGGAGGTCCGTGGGGGGTTTAACTCTCCGCGATGTACCCCGGAATTGTGAGGTATTTGTAGGAACGGGTGGTGGATGGTCTTTTGAGTAGGAAGGGATGGTCGATGTTTAGTAAGTAGGAAATATGGGAAATTTGGGTGCTTCGGCTCGTTTTATTTGTTTGGATTATGTACTCTGTCGTACTTCCGACTATTGAGTTGATGTCCTGGAGTACTTCAGTTTGTTTTGGTCGGTATGTTGTCCGAATTTTTGCACTACGGAGCCAGAGATACCCGGGGTACTGGTGTTGAGATACTTTGAATTTGAACGGGTTCGCAACGAATTTGAGAGGTAAGCCTGTGGTTGAACGGCCTTCCTGGCAAATGACAACTTTTCCGATAAAATTCAGGTAAGATGTCGGGGGCACTCAGTGGTGAATATGAATATTAAGCCCGACAGGATATTGTGGACTTGCACACATACAGACTGATCAGTCACATGGAGAGTTTTTTTGGAATTTTTTTGGAATTTTTTTTGGAATTTTTTTTTGGAAATCTTTCTGAGTCGGCGGATAGGGGAAGGCGAAAAGTGTGATATGGGAGGAATGGAAGGAGTCGAGCAAGTGCTTCACCGATCAGT